AAAGAAGATTGACTAGAAGAGATTCAGATGTCTCCAAATTACCAGTCATGTATATGGGGTAATTTTCATCATCCATATCTCCTAGAAGTGACAAGAAATCCTCTTTTGATATTTTCTTTAGGACAGCTGCCCTTTTCTGCCTGGCAATTGAATTTTCATCTTGTACCTTGAATTCATTTCTAGGTATATGACTTATATCCACCTTTTCAAATTCTGCAATCAACTGCCTAGTTATCTCCAGATACTTGTTCATCAATGGTCCCCTTACCTGGTAATTACCCGCAATCCGGGAAGTGACCAGTTGAGAATCATTGAAGACCTGGAGTTTTCGTGCTCCAAGCTCCTTTACTTGCTGCAATCCGACTATGAAAACTTCATATTCTACCTGATTGTTTGATGTTTTGAAGCTCAACTAGAGCGAATACTCCACCGATATCCCTTCTGAGCTTTCAATAATTATCTCGGCTCCACTTCCCTTTGAGTTAGAGGAACCATCAACATATATCTTCCAAATGTTTGGACCAGGTGAGCTTTCATCTTGGATCGAAGTGAGCTCTCTGACAAAGTCAGCCAGTGCCCGAGATTTGATAACTTTCCAACTTTCAAAAACTATATCAAATTCTAATACCTCGACTGCCCAGTTCATCATTTGTCCTACCAGATCTGGTTTGTGAAGGACCTGCCGAATTGGCAAATCCGTTCTGACTACTACCTTGTGCCCCTGAAAATATGCTCTAAGTCTTCTAGCCAAAATTAACAAAGCAAATGCCACTTTCTCCAACCTCTGGTACCTAAGCTCTGGTCCTTGTAACAGCCGACTTATGAAGTAGATCGGCTACTGTCCTTCACCATCTTCTTGTACCAGCACCGCACTAACTGTTATGTCGCCCACAGAGAGGTATATTATTAATGTTTCTCCTCCTCTTGGTTTTGACAAGATCGGCAGGGAAGCCAGTCTTTTTTTTATCTCTTGGAATGCAACTTCACATTCCAAGCTCCATCCATATTGTACCTCATTTCTTAACAACCTGAAGAGGGGTAACGCTGTTTTCGCTGATCGGGGTAGGAATCTGGTAAGGGAAGCTAGCCTTCCTGTCAAAAGTAGTATTTCTTTCTTTCTCTTTGGTGCCCTCATAACTAACACGGCTTTGCATTTGTCTGAGTTTGCTTCAATACCTCTGTGGGTCAACATAAAACCCAAGAACTTCCCAACAGGGACCCCAAATGCACATTTTACTGGGTTTAAACGAATATTATGCCTTCTCAGCTTCTCAAAAGTCTGCTCTAAATCCTTAATGTGCATCATTGGTTCTAATGATTTGACTATCATATCTCGATGTGTATACCTCTACATTCTTACCCAGTTGGTTTTCAAAAACTCAGTTCATCATCCTCTGATAAGTAGCCCCGGAGTTTTTTAACCCAAATGGCATCACATTGTAACAGTAGTTTGCCCTTTCTGAAATGAATGTTGTTTTTTCCTGGTCATCAAGATGTAGTGGGATTTGATTATACTCGGAGTACGCACCATAAAGGACAACAACTGGAACCCCGAAGAACTATCAACCAGCTAATCAATGTTGGGCATAGGATATGAATCCTTTGGGCACACCTTGTTTAGGTCAGTATAATTCGTGCATACCCTCCATTTTCTATTTGGCTTTTTCAACATTACCACATTAGATAACCAAGTTGTGTATTGTATTTCTCTGATGAACCCGACTTCTAGGAGTTCCTTAACATGGTCCTCTAGGACCTGCTGAGGTTCATAACTGGGCTTTATTTTCTTCTAGGTTATAGGCTTGGCTCCGGGGTACACTAACAGCTTATGACAACAAAATGTAGGGTTTACCCCGGGAATTTCTGTTGACTTTCATGCAAAGATGTCTTTATTACTCCTCAAGCATCTGATGAGTTCATTTTTTAAGTCAACTTCCAATGCTTTGCCGATCTTCGCAGTTTTCCCTTGTTCCCCAACGATTGTTTCTTCTAATTCTCCGTCAGGTTCTGGCCTTGACACCTGAGTATCATCTCTCATGTCCAACTCCACCATGTTGACAAAGTTCTATTTTTTCTGCGTTTGTGATGATTGACCCGCGTAATTACCTTCTCTGATTTGGGTTAGAGATGAGGGTCCGTCCTCCACGGCCCTAAGCGACTTGAAGTAGCATTCTCGAGATTCCTTCTGATCCCCAGCAATGGTAATCACTGTGTTTTGCTTACCAATCATCTTCAGCTTCTGATGCTTTGTGGATACCAACATATCCCAATTGTGAATAGTTGGTCTTCCCAATATTATGTTATATGATAAAGTGAGTCTAAGATCAATGTATCCTTTAGGGGAGGTGTTCTGACCATTGAATGCAGTCAAGGTGGTTTTGCATGGCCTCAAGTCACCTTCGTCCAGATTCATTTTTTTAAATGCTTCCCACAAAATTATATCAGCACAACTACCGCTGTCAACAAAAATCTTCTTAACTCGGCAGTTGACTGAAGTTCCAGTAATAACCAAGCCATCGACGTGCCCCGACATTACATCCTCCAACTCTTCTCTGGTAAAATATAATAGTGGTGGCTCTGGCTTTTTGACTTCTTCCTTAAACCTAGGCCTCTCTCGGATTGAGAGTACTTCCCTCAAGTATTTCCTTCAGGCATTCATTGTATCACCTCCTCCGCCGAAAGCTCCACTTATGACATTAGACTCAAATTCCGGTTCTACAAACTCATCATCGTCTTTAACCGGCCTTTTACCCCGGCTTTCCTCTCTTAGTTTTTTCTCCTTTGCCGGGCTCATTGGCTGACCTTTCCTTTTTCTGTTATTTCTCAATCCTTGGGTCCTTATGAGATACTAGCATAATTTGCCATCTTTAATATACTTTTCAATTGCGTCCCTTAAATCCCAGCATTCATCCGTAATATGTCCTGGTCCATCATGAAAAGCAGAATACCTTGTATGGTCTAAGCCGGCCCTGTTCATTAAGGGTCGAGGTCTTTCAACCTTTTTCATCTCGGTTGAGGCCACCTCCTTCCATATTTGAGATTTGGGTAAATTAAGTGACACGTATTTTTCATATATTCCTCTTAGTGGAATTCTTTCATCTTGCCTCTTGCCCCAGAAATCATTTTGTCTTCTATTTCCGAGTTTCTCAAATTTGTCTGGACTTCTTCTCTGATCTGTGTTTTCGATTTCCCTTTGCTCTAACTCTAGTATTTCCTTCGATCTGTCGTGCATCGTCCTCTCTTTGGAGTTCGTTTCTTCTTTCCATCTCCTCCATCCTCCTCAGGACCACAGCAACAGCCAGATCTGTGACCCTCTGGTCATGATTAATATCATTGGGTATTTGTCCCGCATTCGAAGTCGGTGCCCCAATCAGTTGTAATCCTTCCATGTACGAAGCATTATGATTCACCGCTGGAGTCGACGCTGAATCAGAATGCACATCACTAACATGGACAATGTTAGTATCCACCTGCCGATGATTTTCAGGAACATGCTGTCCTGAAGGATCCTCCCAAATTACGGGGATGCGTCTGTGCTCAGCATTTGATGCTGATGGCTGCCAGTAACCACTCCTGGTCGTGCATGCCATTTTTTATTGTGAGGTTTGAAATTTTTTCCAATTCCTCACAGACGGCGCCAATGTTCTGCCTGTGGACAGAGATGTCTAACTGTGGGCTAGTATGTTTATATTGGATCTGGTGCTCTCTCTAGATACCTATGAATTAGGTATCTTGGGGTTAGAAAATCACAACACACGATATTGGGACCTTAGCCAGAGATGGGGTGGTGTGTGTGCACTGCGATTGCATAAAATAGGTTAAAAGGAGATTAGTCATACCTGTGGTCTTTAGCTCCTATATATAGAGTTTACCTTAGGGTTTGAGTCATTTGGGCCTTCCAAGAACATGAGTCTTACCCAGGTCCATAACAATTAGGAGGGATTGAGGACTTGTGTATGTCTCCATCTAACATTTGAACCAACATTTGCATTGATGATCGTCTAGTCGATCCATAGCATGCCACTATTCAAATTCATACAGTGCTCGGACACCACCACACAGCGCTTGTCTTAAAAAATGATGGAGATAATACTTATAATTTGTTTTTCTTTATAACTTCTTACAACTAATTTTATGGGATCAAAATCAAATTAAAGGTTACAAGATAACATTAAGTGAGAAATGTAAATTTGATTTTAATCCTACAACCATAAAAATGATTGTAAGAGGTTGTAAGGAAAAATAAATTATAAACATAACTTCTCCCTTATATATATATATATATATATATATATATATATATATATATATGAGTGTCGCATGTAGTGTTTTAAAACCCCGCCCCACCCCGAGGTCAACCCCGCCGAGTCAGAGGGGTCAAAGAGGTTACTGCATTTTTTTTATAAAAAAAATTAACACAAAATGACGTCATTTGATGTGTAAAAAAAATATCGCTGGTGCCTAGATTTAAAACTAGATTTGAAATTAGATCGTTCTTTTTCTTCTTCTCTTCCGATCTTCTCTCCCAAGTCCAGACCCAGTCTCCCTGATCCAGTGATCTACTTCACTGTGCTAGTTCTTCCGTTAATTTATCGTGATGTCGCCTCTCCTCCACTATTCTCTATTGGTAAACGATCTCTTTTCACATACTGTTGTAGGTGCATGAGAAGGACAAGAAGGGCTTGAGTTTGATAATATAACTTTTCATTAACTCCATTGGAATGTGTTTTATACTTTTATACCTTGACACTTTGATTAACTTGTGAATATTGACCTGTGGATGTATTCGGTTGAATTATGTTAAGTATATTTTGAATCTTTAATGATTGGTGGTTTGATTTTTTTGAATTTTTCATATAGGATATATATTTATATTTTTTTAATGTATAAAACCGGGTTAGTAAAGTGTGACCCCGTAATCCCCCGGTTGAACTCGTGACCCTTGACCTTGACTGACTCGATGATCGGGCCAGATTTTTAAACACTGGTCGCATGCAGCATGCAGTACTCATTAAAAAAATAAGAAGATATAAAGGTAATTTTGCGAAGACCAAAGCACAGAACTAAACACCCACAATGAAAAATAGTTTTGAATGCACAAAAAATACACACAAATACACCCAAATGGTAAACAACCAGCATATCATGGGTATGAACCAACATAATATAGGAACTCCTCTTGCAACTCTATTCATATTTAGGCCGCTTTAGAGTGCTTGTCATGGCTGCCCTGAGCTCGTTTGGTGAAGTAGAGAAAATATGTGAAACATCTCCACTTTTTGGATTCCCTGAAATAATTGATAGTGTTTGTTCATCTAGATCGAATACAGCTGTACAGAGCGTGTGGAGTAATGGACCTGGGAATTGGAAGAGAAAAAAAAAGAGTTATAATCAAAAGAAGATTGACTAGAAGAGATTCAGATGTCTCCAAATTACCAGTCATGTATATGGGGTAATTTTCATCATCCATATCTCCTAGAAGTGACAAGAAATCCTCTTTTGATATTTTCTTTAGGACAGCTGCCCTTTTCTGCCTGGCAATTGAATTTTCATCTTGTACCTTGAATTTAATACAAGTATGCTTTAGTCAGTGAAACAAGACATGTTCAATTGATAAAAAAATTTATGATATCTTAGCGTACAATTACTCAACGGTTCAAGTATTTTATTGCTGAAGTGAATTGAGACATTTATGTTAGAGGTGCAGCACCTCAAGCAGAAATGTAATCTGAAACAATCTTCTGGCTTTTAGCAGCAGAATTAAGACTACAAGATTGCTTGGATGCAATACCAACTGAAAAACGAAAATTTATCTTTATTATTAGAAGTGATCCTACATCTAGCCACAACACAAGGAGCCATACTTTGCATTGAAGAAATCCCAAGATTGGGGATTAAGGATGTCTTGGGTACGGAATCAGATAGCTTGGAAGCATTTTCCAGAGAAGTAGTGGCAGCAAAAGTCTAAGGAAAAGATGAGTAAAACTTTCCTGAAATGTTGAAAGGGTTTTCTTGAACTTTTGTAGTTTGTATTTGCACCGCCATTGCTACTGTATCCCAGGGATTAGCAGCAGTAGCAGATGTGGCCAAAATCACCGAAGAGGACAATGGGGTAGCACTCACGAAGGCAGAAAATGCAACCATAGAAGATGTATTTTAGCTATACCTATGGCGTGTATCCAAAGCAAGGAAAGACTCGTTGAGTCATTGCAACATGTTACGACCTATATTGGGAAGTAGTTGGGGTTAAGTAGTGGCCCTTGTTAGACTCAAATTAGTAGGCAGTTAAACTAGTCAGTTAACTAGTTGTAAAGTCAATTCAAGAGTAGGTACTATATAACGGAATGATTTCACTGCTATCACACTTCTACAAATTTACATTTCATAGAGAGTAACTGAGAGTGCTCAGTTGTGAAAGGGAATTGCCCCTTTTGAGAGGATAGTCGCTCTTTGTACTCCGTGCAGACAATTTAGCAATAAAGACACTATCTTTTGTTCTTCTTTCTGGTGTATCACTCCGTATCACTACATCTGTTGCACCATAGTGTCAAGAACATCAAAACATTGATGCATTTCTTCATGCATTCCACGGTGGCCAATGGGATGGTGTTGAAAATGAAAACACCAAAGTTAGAGGTGCAGGACCTCAAGAAGCACAGAAACAGAGAACTAAGAGGGAAATCAACCAAAATTATTCTTTATTATTCTTCTGATATCCCCTTCAGATTACAAACCCATCTATTTATAACTATTACCTATAGTCAGTGTACTATTACATCAGTTGCAACTTCCTTATCTCTTTTCTAACAACTTGTAAACCATTTCTAACTACTCTAACTGACTCGTACATGTTCCCCTTATCATATCACATTTCCATGTGGCTAAACATGATTATGTGTTTATTATGAGTTATCTATTGAATATATATACATGTGTTTGAGTGTGTGTGATTTGCAGTGGTCTTAATCAAATAGCTGCAAAACAGGATTGTTTGTATCACTTGCCTGATTAATATTTAGGTGGAGGTACATGTTTGCATGGAAGAAAGGTGTTTTCCCCACCTCATAAACTGAAATCCGCTTCCTAGATGCGGTTTCAACATTGCAAATCCTGCGGGTACTTGTTTCAATTAGGTTATAAGAATGCCCCACAGAAACTTCTGCTGAATGGATCCTCTGATGAAATAAGAGCATAAAATGAAAACATTAAACTCATCATCAAGAGTTCATAAAGATGAGAAGGCAAAGGCTGCAAAATCTAACATTCATTGCATCATCTATGCTTGTAGCTTCAAGAATGTCTCGGGAAATGAAGTTGCGCCCAATACCACCTGCCACAATCTCATCTACAGCCGGGGGTACAGAGTCCAAAGTGAATGCCTGAGGATCATAAAGTGAGTTAATTACTTACATTACATTTTAGCATACGTCCAGGGGACTTGACTTGAACATTAGGTGCAGAATTACACCTCATGCAGTTCAATAACCCTTAAAAAGAATGTTTGTGTTACGATCCAATTGCAAAGTACGGGGACTTGGAGTCTCTCATCGAAAACATAAGGTTCTGATACGAGATTTATATGGACTTTGGGCTTTCTACCTTACAAGCTAGTTTTTGGGGTGAGGCTCTACCAATCTTGCAATCGAGCAGCACGACGGGTGCATTATAGTATTTCACTAGTAGAAAAGTAGTGCTGGGCGATGGGCTGTGGAGTGTGGTGGGTTGTTACGATACCAGTAACAAGGTATGGAACTTGGAGTTTCACATCGAAAATATAAGTTTATAGAGTATGGTTTATATCAACTTTAGGCTCTCCTACCTTAACAATCTAGTTTTTGGTATGAAGGTTTATTTCAATTTAATAAGTATTTGAAGAGGGGAAAAAAAGGAAACTTTAATTATTCACTAAAAAAATAAAAAAAAATAAACTTTTATCAAAATTATAATAACACGTATACAATGAATAAAATTCTTTACTTCTTCAATAAAGAAAACCCACTGTAAGAGCTATATCTGTGCAGCAGAGGGCAGGGTCAAAATTCCAGTTAACTCACATATAGATTCTCGATCAGTGAGGAAATTTTTACCAGTCCATGGCTATTGAACCCAAACGCGCAAGTTGGAAGCTCCCCAGCATATGTATAACCTACAAAGAACAGTCCGTCCGGCATGATTCCTTTGATTAAGTAGCTGCACATGTAAATCCACACAGAAAATACTCATAAAGCCATTTTATTCGAATTCTGAAGCTAGGACAAGATATGAACTAATAAGCTTACGTGTGGCCAACAAGGGCAACATTTGCATCTTCGTTGTGCGCTGCAATGGCCATAGATTCACCAACAACAAGAACATCAGAGCAGTCATCTAAGGTATCCTCGTTGGAACTTTTAGGTGCTCTTTCTTTGGGAATAAATGCAAGAATCTCCTTCCTGAAGTTGATAAGTAAAATCTGCTCAAAAACAAGAAACTAGATATTAATGTTACAAGAAATGGCTGTGAACATGTTATATATATATATATATATATATATATATATGGATTTTGCAATTACATCAAGAAGAGGTACACCACTTCCAGCTGCAGTCCCCAAGAGCTCATCCCAATACCGTGGGAATTTCCTTTGATTATTATCAAAGAGTGCTTTGAGAAGTGATTCAGATTGAGGGGTATCTGCAAATGGTCGCAGCTGATTTTGAAGAATGAGGTCTTTAGCCACCCTACTCCTTATCAGTTCTGAGAACCTTTGGCCAATTAAGAGACCCATTTCGTATGCATCTTTGCATGGTCCAACTTCGAACATCTCAAGCCTTTCCTTTCCCACACTACAGCTTCCCATTTCAGCTTCCTTTCCTGTGGGCTGTGGCAGTGGTCGAATTCTACAATGAACAAAAGGAGCATGGATTTGATTACCTTCAAACCCTAAATCTAATATAAATTTAACGTTTGATGTTTTTGTTATAGGAAATTACATTGCAAAAGTGTGTGCGGTCAAGGTAGAGTCTTGTACCGGGAAGGGAGAAAAAAAAAATTGGATTATATATATATATATATATATATATATATGACACTTCGATTTTTGTGTAATATTTATTTTTGTTTTTTATTTTTTTAATAGATGTGGGCTCCACATAAGATGTGTCCACAGCATGAGAAAATCGAAACCCTATATATATATATATATATATATATATATTTAGAAACTTTTACAAATTACATTGTATATCCCGGAAGAACACTAGGCTATACTATATTCCAGTGTTTTAAAACCTCGCCTCACCTTCGGGTTGACCCGAGTCAACCCTGACCCCTCTCCTCTGAGGGTTGGGGTCACAAGTTGGACCTATATGCATATCGACTCCTCTGACCCCAAAAATCTGGCCAGATTTTAGTGATTCCCGGGCAGAGGGGTCAAAGGGGTCACTGCATATTTGTTTGTTTTTTTTTTTTTAAATTTCATGAAACAATATTGTGTTATTAAAAAAATAAAATAAAAATGTTTGCAAACCAAAATCTAATCGTTCTCTTATCTCCTAGTGACCTAGACGTTTTCAATCTTCACCTCGCTGCCGTGAATCTTTTAAAAAAGATAAGAATTTTACCTATTCAAATCAAATTCTTACAGCTGTCGATAGAAAATAAAAACTCATTCTTACTTCTTTTGAATTTTCCTTTGCCAGAGACCTTATCAAAAGAGGCAGAACCGGGTCAACTTAGTGACCCCATTAGAATATGAGTTTTGTACTTTGGTATCTTGATATCTTAATTAGGTTGTGTAGTATTGACTTATGGTTGTAATTGGTGAATTATGTTAAGTATATTTTAAATATTTGATGATTGATGGTTTTTTTTTAATATTTTCATATAGGATATATATATTTATATTTTTTTAATATATAAAACCGGGTTAGCGTACTGACCCCGTGACCCCTGACCTCGGCCGGGTCGATGGGCGGGCTGGGTTTTTAAACACTGCTATATTCTCCCGGTAGTACATAGTGTAATTTGCAAAAATTTATAAACGGATACTTCCCTATATATATATATATATATATATATATATATATATATATCCAAGATAATTTTATTTATATATATATATATATCCAAGATAATTTTATTTTTTAGAAAGTGATAGACTAATACCTTTAAATTTAATTTTATAAATAAATATATAATAATTTAAAAATATGAATATAAATAAAAGAGAATTAAAATATTTACAATTTAACAAACATAAAAGATTAAATTATGAAATTTAAAAATAATTAAAATTATACACATGTTAAGATACAAAAACTGTGTGTGTGAAGAATGATATTTTTACTCGGTGTAAGATTAAAAAAAGAATGATATTTTTACTCTGTGTAAGATTAAAAAGTCTTCGTTTTCTATCTCAGTTATTCATTTTTGTATATCTAACTTGTTGTAGTTTATTGAGCTATACTAAAGACGTCAAAACTAATCAACCCCTCTTATCAAGCCCTAGTCTGCAAAAACAAAAGCGTACATGATCCAAAAACACATACAACCATACGGGCTAGGGTCAGCACACGAGCCAATATATATATATAAACTATATATATATATATATATATATATATATATATATATATATATATATTACCAGCGAGACAGGAGACATGTATCGGGAAGATATAGAAGTTGCTTCCAGTTCAACAATCTGACATGGTGAAGCAAACTTTTTGTCAGAAATTGTTAAACACATCACGAATTCATGCATCCTTTGTTTCCAGGTTTCATGCTGAAAGTTTGTTCACATCAGACATAACCCGTTTTTTATAACAAGTGAAGATATATCTAAGAGTTATAGATACTTCTATCAAACCAACAAAAAGGACCAATGACAATGGCGTGTAAATTAAAAAGATATTATGAACTCTAGTTAATTCCAAATAGGAAACCCCTCCGTAAATTGAACTACAAGCTGTCAAGCTCATGACAATCATATAAAAATACAAGAACAATAAATAAATGTGCACCACATCACAATCCTAGTTGTAAACATAAGTCATAGTTCTAAAAGAACCTCTAAGAAACATAAAATTGTTTCAATACATGACTTTTCAGTTCACTAGTCAAATTTCGGAACAGTGACCATTGTGCCACTGTTCCAAGTCTTATTTGTCAAAATGTCACGCCTACGTACCTTTTTCCCAAACTGCCATGTAGGCAAGTTCGCTGGGAGTAGTAGCAAACTAGGTGTGGTGATGTGTCATCAGCCTGATGGTGCTGAAGTTCGCTATTGACACAGGCGAACTTGAGTGCAATAAATGCCTCACCTGCCAAGCCACGTGGCTTGCACGCATGGAAGGTCGCTGGCCACATCAACGATATCTGCGCAACGGCTAGCTTGCCACGTGGCTGACATGCACCAAGTTCGCTGGGGTGGCAGCCCTATATAACACCACCCCCCCCCCCCCCCAATCCCCCCTCCCCTCTCTCTTTCTCTTCCATTTTTCTTCTCCCACTCTCTTCCTTTCTTAATTTTCTTTCTCTCTCATTTGCATTCTTTGTCTTCATTTGAGGTTAGTCATTTATGATTTCATTAATTTTTTTTACAGTTTTTAATTATTATTTAAATGTTGTTACTTATATTATATATATGATGAAACATTAGGTTAGATGACATATTATTTGTTTTATTATTTTAAATAGTTTAGTAATTGCATGTTAATATGTTAGTAGTTAAATATTTTATAGTTTAATTAATATATATAATAAATTTTTTTATATGCATCCTTTATTTAAAGGATTTAGGTTAGATAATTTTTATATTAATGTTGTTATATTTTGTATTTAACAATTTGTAAATTATTCAATAAATAATAATATTGAATTAAAAAAAATTATTTAGTGCTAGGATTGAAAAATAGGTTAGAAAATTTTGACATTGGCTTATAGTATGTATGATAATCTTATTAGGTGTAGTAATTTATATTATTGTATTATTTAATAATAGCCTTTTGTTTGATATTATTTATAGGGTTGAATTGTAGGTTAAAAAAAAAATATTCTAATGGTATTAGTTTTTGTATTTAATAAATTCTTGATCATGCAATAATTAAAATATTTGAATTAATTAACATTATTTAGTTATAGGATTGAAAAATAGGTTAGAATAATTTTGACAACAATGTATGTATTTATTTATGTACCAACAGTGCCTGGTGATGGAATCGGTTCAAACAATGCAGTAGAAGGCTCTATTTTGAAATCACCATCAACATCTGTATCCGATGAATCACTATCAGGGACAAGACCTTCATCAACATCTTCTTCGGAACTCTCAGTACGCCATGACGGATCATACATGTCATTAGCAGGAATCACATCTAAAGGCATTGTTAGTGGGGGTGATGGTGGTGGGGGTGAGACATGCATATCATCCGGAGTTACTTGCGGCTCCCTGTTAATGTCTATGGAGTAACTGGGAGGGACAAAACTTTGAGTGCTTGCCTCTCCACCAGTGTTTAGTTCCGCAAACAACTTGATGTATGAGGACTCATCTCCGTGCTGTAGAAATGCATCAATAACTAATGACACATCTTCATCCTCCACCACCTCCACAGCAACCCATTGCACCGGGTTACCAGAAGCGCATCTAGCAATCAATCGAGACAGGGATTGACCTCGTTGTAATCTCAACTTCTTGTATATTATTTTCTTCAGCTCAATATATTTGCAACGCGGACTCATGCGGAAGATCTTTGTATCTCTTTCAAACACTTGACCGTTCGGTCCAAAATATCTTCTCCCATTGTAATATAGAAGGCATATTACATCGTTGTTACTCTCACTCCTTATGTACTGAAATAGCAAAAAGTAACAAACAAAAATGGAAACTTCAAGGAAAACGGACGAGAATGACTTCGGGAGAGGAAATGGGGTGTGTATAAATAGAACTGAGTTAGCTACCTAGGGCAGCGAACTGTAACTGTCGGCAGGTAGTTCGCTTACCTAGGCAGCAAACTTGTGGGGGACTGCCATGTGGCACACAGTTCGCTGCACGGGAAAATGAACTGCGTCAGTGGCTGCCACTTGTCTCCTAGTTCGCTGTCAATGTCAGCGAACTATGTGTGCCAATTGACACATGGCAAAGAGTCCGCCTGGTCCCCCAGCGAACTGCGTTGGGGTCAGACACGTGGCAAACCAAGTCCGCCTTGTCTGTCAGCGAACTCTTCATACGTGTCAGCATTTATTGCACTCAAGTTTGCCTGTGTCAATAGCGAACTTGAGCACCATCAGGCTGCTGACACATCACCACACCAAGTTCGCTGCTACTCCCAGCGAACTTGCATGCGTGCCAGTTTGAAAAAAAGGTGCGTAGGCGTGGCATTTTGACAAATAAGACTTGGAACAGTGGCACAATGGTCACTGTTCCTCAAATTTCATTAAGCATAAGAGTACTTTGAAAGCTCCAAGAGTTCACATTACATCAATTTTTTTTTTTTTTAAATGGAAACATAAAGTTCTTAGCCTACTAAATTTTATACAAATACTAAAAAACTGACAACCCATAATTATGATTTCTCATGCCAAATCTATATTTTAAATTTTGAGTTCAAAAAACTACCAAATTTTCATTCAGCCACAAACAACAATTCCTTCCATATTTTTTGAACCACAAAAGCTTAGACTCACAATTCTGGAAGATTTCCTAATCTCCTTATATCATGCGTCCCTGCTCCAAGGAAAGGACGTTTGGCAATTCATGTATTGTACACCCTCTCACTCTCTTGACATACATGAGCACTCCATTGACAAAAACAACCATCACTCACCCTAGACCAACTCCAACAGAGCTATGATATTTCTTATACCAATGCCTCTAGCTGGGTTGACACATTAGAATGTGCGTAAAATGATTTTTTTGAATCAAATTGATTTCCATCAGTGAAATTTATGCATAAGAGTAAAGGAGGTTTGAAAAATGATTTTAACTTGCTTTTGACATGCACT